TCCATATACAGTATATGACTTAATTTGTCTTGTTGGTTACAATAATACATAAATATTTTGTCTGAATCCTAATTTTATGTCCTTCTAATAAAGAATTTTTGATGTCCTTTTTAAGAAGAAACCTCAAATTTTATTTGAATATTGAAATTTCCCAGCTTAAAAAAAAACAACACTTTGCTAGCTCACAGGGAAAAATCTTAAAAAATTTAAGCGTTTTTCCTCTAAATCAGTTTTTTTTGTTGCTACTGTTCAAAGTAGTGCTTCAAATTTTTGTTATATGATTATATTTCAGACAGTTCATTCAGCTGACACATTAATAAGGCTTTTATTCATTATATTTTGACAAAATGCAATTTTTGTTAACATTTTAGTCAAAACACTATATTTGTCTATTTCTCCTTACACCACTTTTGGACTTAATCCTCGTTTCGATGTGATGGCTCACATTTTGAGCCAAAGCTTGGTGTTAGTGAATTGGCTTCAACTTTGACAGATAATCTTAAACTCTACTGAGCAACATGCATTCCTTTAAGGAATTCTAGATCTTTAATTATATTAAACCTTTTCACACAGTTATCAGTTTTTGTTTCTGTAAGGCACAGCTAATTGTTAGTGCTGCTCAACCCAACAGCCCAGGGTTGTTTGTCCAGTTTGATGCTGCTTCAGTTGAATCAAACTCCGTCTCTAACAGCTTCAGTTCTGACAGAACGAGACGTTTTCGTGGCCTCACCTCGTCACAGCAGTGCATGCGGGCCATGGCCTCCGACAGGCGGATCATGCTCTCCAGCTGTCGCACCGTTATCCTCCAGGCGGACTTGGACACGCTGCCGGAGCCGTCGCGCTGCCGCAGACGCTTGTACTGCTCCACGATGAACTCCTCAGARTCACTGGAGATCTGCAGTCAAACACGAGGACTACAGCTTGAACACATTTTACTGAGGATCACCTGAGATAAARGAGGCTAAAAACTTCATTTTACTTCTTTTAGTTGCCCTGTTCATTACAAACTTTCAAGTTTATTATTTTCTATTTATCTCACTCTGACAAAAGTTGGGCCATGCGTGTCTGTTAGCAAAATATTTCATTAACCACTGGATGATAAGTTTTAAAGCCAGTCCAATTCAAGATGGCTGCCCAACACATACTTGGAACAGCTCAAAGCATCACGAGATGAAGCAGAACGTTTTGGAGATTTGACCGAACTGGCTACAATTCTTCTGAACCAACAGGAAATGTAATCTAAAACCACTAAACAAGTAGAATAAAACCAGTTCAAACCAACCTTTGGTTTGAACTGCCTGGCAAAGAGCAGGTATCTGCGGATCTCATCCAGAGAATACAGTCTGTCCACGGACTCCTCCACGCGGGAGTGCAGGTCCACAATCCGCCTGGCGATGGCGTAATCTGTAACCTGACCACACAGGTCCARGGGAACCATTATAGGGCTGTGGGTCTTACATTATTAGTATGAAACGATATATATGTGAACYAAATGAAAGGACTCTACAAGGTACCTCGTTACATTCATCCACCAGGATGAAGAAGAGGTCGAAGCGGCTCATGATGGGAGCRGTCAGGTTGACATTCTGCTTCAGACTCTTGCTGCGGTCGTAGCGCCCGCCCACAGGGTTGGCAGCAGCCAGGATGGAGGTGCGAGCGTTCAGSGTGGCCTGAAACACAAACAGAAACTGTCGTAACAATTTCCACGCTCGTACGGCAGGTCGGAGCCAGCTCTGTGAGCGTCACCTTGACTCCAGCCTTGGTGATGCTGATGGTCTGCTGCTCCATGGCTTCATGAATGGCCACCTGGTCCTTCAGGTCCATCTTGTCAAACTCATCAATGCAGCACACTCCCTGAAAGGAAACCAGGTTATTATTTAAGGATTAGATTTAAAAAAAAAAAAATAGATTTAACTCCAGATTCTCACGTTGTCTGCAAGCATCAGAGCTCCGGCCTCGATAACAAACTCGTGCGACTCCTCGTCTCGGACCACAGCTGCTGTCAGCCCTGCAGCGCTGCTGGCCTTCCCGCTGGTGTACACGGCTCTGGGACTGAACTCCTCCACGTGTCTGRGCCAGAGTTATTACAGTTAACTAAAACTAACTAAATAACAAGAACTGAAACTGAAAAAAAACATTTTTGTTAAAATAAATAAAAACTGTAATAAAATGAGAAAACAATAACTGTATAATCATTTTACAAAACTAACTAAAACTAACTGAAATTATAGATAGAATATCCTTAGTTTTAGTGTTTGTCCATTTATTTTGGGACATGTGGATCTCTTAAAATAATCTCCCAAGTTTTTAGTTGGCAAAATTGAGTTACACAATTATTTTAGGAAGGTATCGCTATAATAGACTGCTTTAACTAGCAACCAAATAGCTGTTGGTTAGTTAACTCACAGGAACATCACAAGCATGAGGATGCAGTGGCAAATATGTTTATCAAACTATAAAAACACTGGTACCACTTTACAATAAGACTGCCCTMATAGGTGGCTTATAAATAGTTATTAATTCATCTGTAAACACTTTATAAATCATTAATAAGTGTTTATTATGCATTAATTAAGGATGAGAAAGAAACAAAACTGTCTGGTTTCTTGCCAAATAGTGAGCCAAATCTGTTCGTGTTCTTATTACATCTAAAAGGTGCTACATATATTAAACACTTCAGACTAGGTTTCTACTTTGTAAGCACAATAATATATTGGAATAATAATGCAGTAATACAGTTAGGGCTGCCACGACTAATCGATTACTGAAATAATCGATGACTAATTTAATAATCGATTAATCGTTTTCTTTTTTTTTTCTTTACTTTGTTTTTCTCTCCAAACTGCTTTGACACCTTCCACTGCCACATCTGCCTTTCTGTCCTTGACACACATGCACAGTAGTGGTAACTGG